CGTTGTACAGCCTTGCGTTCTTCAGTGAAACCATCTGTTTCCTTAGCAGAAATGGCTGGTTTTGAGAAGCAGAGTCCCTTTGTCTCCAGAAAATGGCTCTTAATTTTGACCCTGCGAGGGGATCCCAGGCTTTAAAGCCAATCAGTCACACTGGGAAAGACAAAAGCTTCTGTCCCACTGGCCCCTGCCCCAAAGACTGGGTTGGCCAGGAGAAGGGAGAGTTGGACCTCTGGTGTGTTGTGGAAGGGCCTGTCATGCCGTCACCGTGCAATCAGTCCCTGCTAGTGTGACTCACCTAGTGCAGCCCAGTTCAGGCAGACAGAGGCGCAGACCGTGCACTGGCTGCCTGGATTCACGGAGGCCCCTCTCAGTCTGTCCTCCTCTCTCCTGAGCTTCACAGATGAATCACTCCTGGTCATGTCCCCATAAAACAACCTCTTATGGTAACAAAGCTGACACGACTATTAAGGTTTTAGTTTTTCTTTTAATGTAACATGGCTGTCCTGAAATGGCATTGACTCTCCTTTGTTACCATTTTCATCATCAGCATCATCTCCGGGTTACACTGTGCCCACTAGTTTTAAAACGCTTCAGAGGATCCCTTCTCTGTGGTCCTTTCTTCCACTGAATACAGATTTTACCTCATTAGTTATCTCGCCAGCTTCCCATGCTATTTCTGGTGGCATTTTTAACCTCCTCCACAAAAAGGAAGTTGAGGTACAGAGCTCTAAATTGATGGAGTTCTTAGGGTTATTTTCAGCCTTGTCTTGCAGCCCCCACCTCTGCAGCATAAAAGGCAGCATGTCTCATCATACTGCTATTTTTGAGATTGTGGATTTCATCTCTCTCCCTCCTTCCTCATGTTGGTCTGACTGCTGTGTAATTATATGGGCTTCACCTGGGTCGGACTTAAAATGAGCCAGCCCACTCATAAGTGACCGTTCTGGGCTTTGGTGAGCAGAAGCCTCTGGTCTCCTCTCCACTGGCACTCCTGGTGAAGACTTGCTTCTCTCCAGCCCACAGGAAAGAGGATACTCCTGTTTGTAGACAAGAACTCTGGCGGGGGGTGGTGGAGGTGCTGATGGATCCAGCCCCAGCCCCAGCCCCCCTGCTCAGAGCTTGTAAGCGCCATGGTGTGTATGTTCTGTTTGTCCTGCTGCAGGTGGCCCGTAAGCTGGTCATCATTGAGAGTGATCTGGAACGTGCAGAGGAGCGGGCTGAGCTCTCAGAAGGGTAAGCGGGCCTGGCGCCAGGAGGCCATGTGTGGGGTGCTGCAGAGCAGTGACTAAACAGCATGACCTTCTGGCAGCTGCACATTGACCTGTTTCGGCTCCGGGCTCCTTATGTGCTCATTTGACGTGGATGAGCCACGAGTATGGAACACGGAGGACCTGTGTGGGGTGTCTGTGTGAATGCGTGTATCACTGCATGCCTTACCTGCACACTTGATTTTGAGAATGGCCTTGTGCATTTCCTGTGTCCACTAACAGCCAAGTTCGACAGCTGGAAGAACAGTTAAGAATAATGGATCAGACCTTGAAAGCACTAATGGCAGCAGAGGATAAGGTACTGACGGCTCGTGTGTGGGTTTTAGGTTTAACTGCAACCCAGGTGCCTTTCAGCTTCCAGTGCCTCCTGCTTCGTTTTCATAACACCTGCGCCTCCACCACACCCTCTGCTGTCTTATATCTCGCTTTAAGTGCTTTCTTTGGGTCCTTTATACTCCTTTGTTTTTCCTTCATAAATGCTCTTTGGTGCAGCCTGAAAAGAAGCCAAATCATCAGCCTCCAAGAGTGGTTGGGTTTTGTCACCCTGCCCCCCTGCTGCTGGAAGGTCGGAGGGCAGTGTCCATGGCAACACGCAGCGTTCTGGTACCCGGCGATTTGGCTCCTTTAAGGCAGCCCTTTGTTCTCTAGGACTTGGTTTTCATTTTTTCCCATCCCTCTCCTTTTTCTCTCCTCCTTCCTTTGGCTTGTCTCCCACCCTCTCTGCCTCTGATCGAAAACATTAGCAAATGTGCCGAGCTCGAAGAAGAGTTGAAAACTGTGACGAACAACCTGAAGTCACTGGAGGCTCAGGCTGAGAAGGTAGGCCAGGAGCACGGCGTGGGGGAGAGGCCTCTTTTAAGAGCTGCTCGGAAGATACCCGCTTTTTCTCTTCTGAGGCCCTGCCAGTGAACCCAGTAGTCCGTTAGGCACTTCAGCAAATGGCATTATTTTGCGATCATCTCCTAACGGTTATCAATAACAGATTCTCTTCTTTTTTAATAGAGAATATATTGTATGTTGAGCACGTGAGTCATCTGTAACAATTTAATTTAAGCCAAGTGCCAAATGGCTAAGTTATCTTGTTCTCATCCCATGTGAAACAATAGGCGAGAAAACAGAGAACGCATTGTCATATGCCATTTGATATCAGAGGCTCCATTACCGCCCAGGAGATCCTCAGCGTCTGTTGGCTGGGTTGGCGCTTTTCTTTGTGTGAGAAGACACGAGTGTAGGGTGAGCCGTGGCCTGACATCTGGAACGTTCTTTCTAATTACAGTACTCGCAGAAGGAAGACAAATACGAGGAGGAGATCAAGGTCCTTTCTGACAAGCTGAAGGAGGTAACATTAGGGGTGTTTGGGATGAGCCAACTGGATTTCAAATGAGTTTGTTTTTATGGAGCCGGTCGTGATTTTTTTTCATTTGGAAGTTACGATGATCCAAGTCCCAAATGTTCAGGGGTGGTCTGGGGGTGAGCGAGCTGTGCCAGCTGCCGCCACTCTCTGTAGTGACGGGTGGCCATGGACCCAGCTCGTGGGTGCCATGCTTGATTTTCATTCTCTAGTTTCCCTGTCTTTGCAGCCACCAGAAATCTAAAACTTCCTGGTTTTGATTGAAATAAATTGAATCATTGCAGGCCGAGACTCGGGCCGAGTTTGCGGAGAGGTCAGTAACTAAGCTGGAGAAAAGCATTGATGACTTAGAAGGTAAGAGCTGACATTTTGTTTTTAACTTGATCATTAAGGCTGAATCCTGACCCGGCAAAGTGATTTTCCAGTCCACGGGCATCCTCCTTGGTACACTTTCTTGCTCCGCGCATTCATTCTGTCTGCCCTTTGGGGTTTCTATTCTGTGGCTCTTAAACTCTGGGACCTGAGTTCTCTGCTCACCATCAGCCACCAGCCGGGGCACATCTCTTTCTGTAACAGCAGATGCTGAGTGGCTTTCCTGCACACTCTTCAGAAGTGTGGCAGGTTCATTCTCCATTGTGAGTGAGTCGGTTGTAGGTGAGAATGATGGTGTATGTTTTATCTTTAGTGACATCTCCGTATTGTCACAATGGTATGGACTTGTTTTTAGGCACAGCCTGTCTTCCTCCAAGTATGAATTCACTGTAAGGGTTTGGAATTTTTTTCTTCTAAGTTGCTGATCATCTTGGCCAATGCTCTATGTCCTGACAGGGGGTGAGAGTGGAGAAAAAGGACAGTGCACTTTGTCGTTACGCTTAAGCATTTATCCCCTAAGATATTTAGGTTTTATTTAAGTAACACCCCTTCTGTCTCTCAGAAATCCTAAATGTTGAGCTCTAAGGCTTAGTGAGAAAGAAAGGGGAAAAAATGCATTAAATACATACATCAAAGGTGGAAGGGGCTAGAGAAGGGACTGGAGGTTGGTGAGGACGATGGCCAAGCTGGCGGAGAAGAGAGTGACAAATGGCTGCAAAACAATCTGCCAAAGTGCAGCGAAGTCTGAAACCTTCATCATGACAGAAGCTAAAGTGCAGAATTGGCACAACCACCCCATAAAAAATGTGGCTCTCGCTCTCTACGCCTCTCGGAGCAGTGAGGGCCGCTTGAGTGGGAAGACCACAGGAGTAGTCTAGATGGCACCAAGAAATCTATGTCCCAGTGGTCTAGTTTGGTCAGGAAGTCAATGGTTTAAAGGTGGAGCCAGATAAGGGTTACAGACTGTAGTCACAAATTGTTCTTCCAAAACAATGCCCTTGGATGTTTTCCCTACTGTTTATAGTCGCAGGGGCTGACTGCGCCAGTGTAATTAAATTATAGCTCTGAAAAGAAAGATGTTCTGTTAACCGTCCCCCACCCCCGGCCCCAGGAGACAGCCTCTAGTTTCGTTTCGGATTTAATGTGGTTTACTGATAGACCTACCGTATGTTACGATTTTCATATTGAGTTGTTCTTGTTTTATTTTCTAATGGGTTTTGTTCTTTTTGTTTCTGTTTCGATTTTATTAAAAACAAAACGCACGCCTCCTGCATTGGCCACCTGCTGCGGCACCAATTCCTTCATGCATTGCCCTTTCCTTGCTGCTGTGTCGGGATGGCATCCGTGCCACCCCCACTCACCCTCCATCTCTTGATCACTCTTCATCTCCTTGCACCTCTGCCTTCCACTTCCTGGTCATAGACGAGCTGTACGCTCAGAAACTGAAGTACAAAGCCATCAGCGAGGAGCTGGACCACGCTCTCAACGATATGACTTCCATGTAAATGTTCATCCACCCTGCCTGCTCACACCCGTGCCCTCACGCTAACATGACAGACTCACCACCACTCCCTTCTGTATCTCCAGTGTCTCCGTCTCTACACCTTTCTGCTCACTCTCTTTGCATAACCTGGGACAGGCGTTGTTTTTTCACATGCTACTAACATAAAGGCCAAGTAGGTTGCCTCTGTAGACAAACCGTTTTCCTTTCAGAATCCATCCGTTTCCCATTGTCTCAACTAGCCCGTTCCCACCAAGCAGTGAACTGGAGTATGAGTGACTTGGGCACTCTCCTTTTAGGAGATTATAACTAGGCTCAAGGAAAATTAGTAGGCTGTGCAATGGTGCAGGAATTTCCTAAGAACTACCAAAAGTTGGTTTCCTGAGATTCAGTTAAATACAATGTGATCATTTTTCAAAAGAGAATTTCAAACGTAAGGAACTCTATAGTGTCAGATTACAGAGGCGCGGAGGGAAAGGAAATTGATCTGATAGAGCCTAAAGGATCCGATAAAGCCTAAAAGGTCACATCTTCCTCACTTTCAAGAATTCTAAACAGATGCGAACCCTCTGCTGAGTAGCCAAGCCTTTAATTTTTCTGTGTTTTATCTGAAAAAGAATTTAAATAATTATAAACACCACAACCTGTGTCAAAGAAGTGGGACATAAAACAGATTGTCTAATACACGTTTGAGAGTCAATGGCCCAGCTTTTACTACCGCGAGGCCGGGAGGGTGGAGGAGACGGTCTTAACCTCACGAGAACCTGGAGCATACACGACTGACTGCCATGGTGCTAACCAAACCCCAACATTAAACTGGCCCTGCCCCTCTGAATTCTAACCTGGAGAGTTGCACAGAGGCTTCCCTTCATTCTCATGATGTGGCACTGAATTCCTTACAAGCTGGAAAGTTCATTTTCCAGGCCCACCTGCCATTCCTTTACTCCTGCAGAGGCATGGTAGCTTGAAGAGCATTGGCGTGTGCCTGCTGCCGTGCAGATTACAGATCCGCCACAGTACCCTTGGAGACATGACTGTCACCATGGAAGCTAGAGGGCGTTCCAGCCTCTCACCCCTCATTTGTAAATGAGGGCATGGATCAGATCATCTGTCTCCAAGTGCTAAAATGTGATGATTCTATGGGGGAAACTTTTAGCATCAAGTATGATTAAGTATTCTGAAAGGTGGGTTGAGCTTCCAATTTGTTAAGGTCTGTCCATGGGTCTGGAAATGGACCCCCCCCCAGTAGGGGCAGGTGCTGGCCTTGGGTCCAGACACTGGCGGGCAGAGACGCACATCCTCCCGCAGGGGCAGCTGGCAGCGGGTTTTGCATGTCTGCTTCTCACCTGTGTTTCGGTTGCTGCTCGCCTCTGTTAGTTTAGCTTCCCTGTTTTCCATTGTGCCACTGTTTTTTTTCTTTCTCTCCCATCTTTTCTCTTCATGCAGATAAGTTTCTTTGCTTCACTTCTCCCAAGACCCCTTCATCAAGCTGGATGTCCCACCTCTCTGAGCTCTGCAGTGTGTCTGTTCTCCAGCTGACCCTGGTTCTTTCTTTTCGCATCCTGCCTTAGGGCCGGGCGCACACTGTGCTTTCTATTGTACAGAAGCTCTTCATTTCAGTGTAAAATAAACACTGTGTAAGCTATTTCTGTTTGCTATTCTTTTTACTTCTTATTTATTGGCATTTTAGTTTCAACATTGAATAAAGCTACAGGTCTGCTTCACACATACGAGGGTTAATTTTTGGCTGCTGCTTTGCTTTTTTTTTTTTTTTCCCCTCCCCATTCTGAATATTAGACACAGATGGCAAGAATTTCTAAAACAGTGGTTCCTTGTGGAACGTCTTAAAAATACGCAGGCCTGGGTCCCTCTCAGAGTTTTGGCTTCCAAAGTTTAAAGTGAGGCCCGGGCACCTGAGTGGTTTATTTTTTTAGGGCTGAGGTGGTCCTGGAACGCAGTGCGGGCTGAGAACCTCTGTGCAGGGGACGTTTCCTTGTTGCGGTCAGGAGGCCTGCCTTGAGCAGTGTCTTCCTCTGCCAGATGTTTGGTTTGGGATGCAGTGAGCCCTCTGTGCTGATGATCAGGTAGCCCTGCCTGGGAGAGGGTGGTTAACAGATGAAAGTCATGATGAAGTCTCCATAGCCATCCTGCGTTGCTAGGAATTTACCCGTTGGAGAAAGTGAAAAAGAACACGGCTTCAAACACTGTAAACTAAGATGATTGTTGATCATCCTTTTACAGCCCAAAGAGCAGTAAAAGCTTTTTAAAAGTATGTTCATTCCTCAGCCACCTTCATTTTGATCATGAATTGACTTTCTTATGTTTTAGGAACATACGATTATGTTCAAGTGGAGATTTATATCCAAGTAGAGTGGACTTTTAAAAATCTATGATCTAGACTATGCCTCTCCCTTGAGACTATAAAGACTTCTGTGATTTCTTGTTTTTCTTTTCCTAAGGCTCTGTGGGGCTGCCTTTGACTATGACTCCTGCCTTGTTGCATTTTGGATTCAGAGTAATAGATGTGGGGCCTTATCTGAATAACCCTGCTTCCCACCATAGACAAAATGACACGTCTGAAAGTTCTGCCGGGCAGATGTTCAGTTAATTCTGCAGGCTCACGGTTTCTTGGAAACCCTTCCAGGGACTTTCACACTTTCTCTAAGCATTTTCTACAAGGAGAAATGGGAAACTGATGGGTTGGGAAGGCAGATCTGGAATAGCCCAAGAGGGTATGGGCGCACAAGAGAATAAGTAGCTAGTTGATTTTATCAAGACATTGTCAGAGCCCAAGCTTTTAGCTCAGAGGGCCAGGCTGTACAAGAGGCTTTTAGTTGGCAACAAACCAAAAGCACTGCCAAATCTGGGCACTAGAGGCCCCTGACATCGGGGAGGTAGAATAGGAGGGGAAAAGACGGATAACCGTTACTGGTCCCTGCCCCCGGGCCACCCAGCACACCAGCTCCATGCAGCTGAAATGGAGCAGGTCCAGAGGAGGATGCGGGCGGGACAGCTGGCATTTAAGCTGCATTCACATTGATCCTCTGGGTTCTCTAGGATTTCTCCAAAATTGGCCTGTGCATTGGCTCAGCAAACTGAGGTGCCCCCCATGATGGTGTGTGTGTGTGCTAGTGGCGTTTACACTGTGCAGCCTCCAAACATGCGAGACAGTGAGATGGAGGGAGGATGTGGTGAAGAGATGAATCGGAAGTGTTCTCTGTCCTCCTTGCATGTTGTAGGAAGACAGATGAGCAAGGCGAGTCTGAGCTAACAGATGGCGTGTATTTTAGAGTCAATGGGATGAGAGGATAATTCTGACTGGGAGCTTCCTGGAGGAGGTGACATTTGACTGGGCTTTTGAATAGTCAGGAAGTGTGGATCAGCAAAGAAGACAAGGCAGCAGATACTCTAAGCTAGAAAGCACGATGAATAGAGCGTTTTCCCATCTCCTACCATGTATGAGAGAGAGTTAAAAATAAGAACTGGTCAATTTCCTGGCAGATTGGGGGCTAGAAACCAAACGCTTTTATTTTCCCCTGGGGGCAGGACTGTCAGCCCTCTAAGATCAGTAAGTAGAGTTTGTGGGTCCAGGCTGTCACTGTCATTTGGAACAGTCACGAGTTGGTAAGTGCCAGTTCTTGTCATTGTCGGGGCACAGCCCCGGCCCGCCAGAGGCAGACTGACTGTCACGCTGCCTTCCTGCCAAGTGGCAGCTTCCAGGCCAGTGTGTAACATGTATGTCACCCTGGCCTCCACGGGGGTGGTCTCCATCCGAGGGTGAGGTTTTGTCCATTTTGTATACATCCGTCTAGCACCAGAGAATGCCATCCTCCTCAGGAAGTCAGCAGTTAAATTTTAAATCCATTTTGAGTGGAGATACGTGCTTGTTCCTTTGCTGTTTGAGTAGGTAACACACCCCCTGTACCTAAGCTGGATGAGAGTTCAGAGTTTGCACCAAGTTACGGCAGTGGGGTGGGACAGGGCACTTAGTTCTGCATTTCAAAGACTGTTCATACAGCAGTGGCCTCTCTTGGTTCTACCTGCAAGGAAAGCCAGCCCTGGGAGCGGAGATGGAAGGGTTCCGGGAAGAGGTGAGCAGAACCGGGCAG